TGATATCCTTCTCCAGCAACTGGTCCCTCCTGAAAATATGAGAGACGAAGTTTGGTCACTCTGGAGCACTCTGGCTGCACTTCTTCCAAAACCAATCTATCGGTTCTTTTGGTAGCCCATGGCACTTTCAATATTCTCCACCAACACCACAACTGAAAAGCATCAATTCTTCTAGGGTCTTTCTTACTCACTGTCCAGCTTTCGCATGCATATGAGGTTATTGAAAATACCATGGCGGCTTGGGTCAGGTGCACCTTAGTCCTCAGGCTGACATCTTTGCTCTTCAACACTTTAAAACAGTCTTGTGCAGCTGATTGGCCTAATGCAATACGTCGTCTGATTTCTTGACTGCTGCTTCCGTGAGGGTTGATAGTTGATCCAAAAAGAATGAAGTCCTTTACAACTTCAATCTTTTCTCTGTTGATAAGAATGTTGTTTATCAGCACCAGAGAACTCTTTTAAGTCCGTCTTCTGCCTATAACTGATTGGAATACCTAAAATGGGGCTACAACATGCCTAGGGAAGGAGGCTTCCTGCGGAGCCTCTGCATTACATAAGACTATAGGTGGAAGCCTGAACCACATCCAGAAATGGGAAATTTCCACTTGAAAGGACGAGCAGACCAGCCTGAAACGGCTAGAAAAACAGAAGATACTTCTTGAAAGAAAGACCAACAGGAAAAATACAAAACAATATAGGCAGTCAGACCGATTACTACAAGAACAAGCAAGTTTCTTGCCCAGGAGACATCAAGGCAAGTGGCAGGGTCTCCTCAGTGCAAACCCCCTTCCAAGACTAAGATTCAATGGGAATACACGCTCTGATTGGTGACCACATTCATCACCAATAAGGGGAAGTGAGAGAAAAACAGGAATGAAGCGGTGAGCTAAGCCCTACAACGTTCAATAGACTCCTGTAAACCCGGGTGGAGACCTGGTTGGCCAACAGTGTGGCAAGATCTGGGGACTCTTGGGCCCAGAGTCAGTGACACGGCCACAGAGGGCTAGAGTGGAGAGTGAAGCATCCAGAGGATAAGAAGAAAGGGCATATGCACAAAAACACCCACACTTGCAGGTAATACCCACTTGACCTGGCTTCAATGACTGGATGATCAGAGCTCAACCAAAAGGAGATAGAAGAGGGGAAAAAAAAGAGTAATCGGATACAATTTGATGAACCTGACCTACACCTATGGATGCAATAGCTCACAAGAGGAAACAAATCCTTACACACACCCTCCACACACAGAGTTGACAGGATGGGCAACTTGGACATTGGTTACCCAAAATGGCAAGAGGGTGTTTACAAAAGCAAGAAGTGACTGGCTTACAAGCTTTCAAGAGGAAACCTAGATCCAGAGGGCATGGAGGAAGGTAGAATCTCCAGTGAGTAGTATCCAATCTGTCTGGGCAGGGCTGATGAAATGAAATGCAGATAGATCTCTTGTGATACAGTAGTGAATAATTGTTATCAGGACTGATTGTGATGGTTGGAAATGTAAAGGTAGACGATTTATAGCAAGGAGGGGAGTGATTAACTTTTCAGTCTAGGAGCGGAGGTCCCTGGGACCATCAATGGAGAAGAGCGGAGAGCGGAACCTACCCAGAGAAGCAGTGACACCAGAGACGGAGGCAGAGATGATGACGTGGAGAAATGGAGCAGCTGGAGAATTTGGATCCAAAGAGGAAGACGGGCTCTGTGCTGACGACTGGGTTGCAGGCTTGTAGTGTATACCCTTTGGTTGGTTGATGAGGCATGGAGGGGATTGTAACCATGGCAATGAAACGATATATGATAAAATGAATGTAAAACTAATGTTCTCCCATTTAAACTATCACATAATTCACAAAAC